AAATCATCTCAAGATAACCTCTCAAGATATGGATTCAGGAGGTGAAGAGGAGAGGAGGCGGGAGCTGCCTCCCTGGGGCCAGATTCACGAAAGCAGTTACGCAAGCACTTACGAACCTGTACATCTTTCCTCAATCTTTGACGGCTTTGGTTACATTTATCAAACAGTTTACAAGCATGAAAACTTTGCCAATCAACTGTTGTTATTGTTATAAACAGCCTCCTGGTGCTTCGGAGCTCATTAACTGTTTAATCATTGTAAACAAAGCCGCCAAAGACTGAGAAAAGACGTACAGGTTCGTAAGTGCTTGCGTAACTGCTTCGTGAAGCTGCCCCGCAGAGCACCAGCGACAAAGTTCAAGCAGGAGCTAGACTAACCCCTCATTATACTCTTGAGTGTGTTTGGACACGCGAGGACAGGAGATATTCAAGTTGTTTACCTGAGCAGTTCGTCCTCCCGAGGTTTGTCAACGTCACGAAAGCATTCAATGTAAAGCGAAGGTTATATATACCAGAGGACCCACAACAGAAAACGGGGCGGTACGTCACTTTCGCCAGCCGCTTCCGTTTTCTAGTACGACGATTTTTTGGCCTTATGTAACGCATACGAGCGAAAAGCGACGGTCTGTGTTGGAGGGACAGGTTGTAGGGGGACAGGTTGTAGGGGGACAGGTTGTAGGAGGACAGGTTGTAGGAGGACAGGTTGTGGGAGGACAGGTTGTAGGAGGACAGGTTGTAGGAGGACAGGTTGTAGGAGGACAGGTTGTAGGAGGACAGGTTGTAGGAGGACAGGTTGTAGGAGGACAGGTTGTAGGAGGACAGGTTGTAGGAGGACAGGTTGTAGGAGGACAGGTTGTAGGAGGACAGGTTATAGGGGACAGGTTGTAGGAGGACAGGTTGTAGGAGGACAGGTTGTAGGAGGACAGGTTGTAGGACAGGTTGTAGGACAGGTTGTAGGAGGACAGGTTGTAGGAGGACAGGTTGTAGGGGGACAGGTTGTAGGAGGACAGGTTGTAGGAGGACAGGTTGTAGGAGGACAGGTTGTAGGGGGACAGGTTGTAGGAGGACAGGTTGTAGGGGGACAGGTTGTAGGAGGACAGGTTGTAGGAGGACAGGTTGTAGGGGGACAGGTTGTAGGGGGACAGGTTGTAGGAGGACAGGTTGTAGGGGGACAGGTTGTAGGAGGACAGGTTGTAGGAGGACAGGTTGTAGGAGGACAGGTTGTAGGGGACAGGTTGTAGGAGGACAGGTTGTAGGAGGACAGGTTGTAGGAGGACAGGTTGTAGGGGGACAGGTTGTAGGAGGACAGGTTGTAGGGGGACAGGTTGTAGGAGGACAGGTTGTAGGAGGACAGGTTGTAGGAGGACAGGTTGTAGGGGGACAGGTTGTAGGGGGACAGGTTGTAGGGGGACAGGTTGTAGGGGGACAGGTTGTAGGAGGACAGGTTGTAGGAGGACAGGTTGTAGGAGGACAGGTTGTAGGGGGACAGGTTGTAGGAGGACAGGTTGTAGGAGGACAGGTTGTAGGAGGACAGGTTGTGGGAGGACAGGTTGTAGGAGGACAGGTTGTAGGAGGACAGGTTGTAGGGGGACAGGTTGTAGGGGGACAGGTTGTAGGAGGACAGGTTGTAGGGGGACAGGTTGTAGGGGGACAGGTTGTAGGAGGACAGGTTGTAGGAGGACAGGTTGTAGGAGGACAGGTTGTAGGAGGACAGGTTGTAGGAGGACAGGTTGTAGGAGGACAGGTTGTAGGAGGACAGGTTGTAGGAGGACAGGTTGTAGGAGGACAGGTTGTAGGAGGACAGGTTGTAGGAGGACAGGCTGTAGGAGGACAGGTTGTAGGAGGACAGGTTGTAGGAGGACAGGTTGTAGGGGGACAGGTTGTAGGAGGACAGGTTGTAGGAGGACAGGTTGTAGGAGGACAGGTTGTAGGAGGACAGGTTGTAGGAGGACAGGTTGTAGGAGGACAGGTTGTAGGGGGACAGGTTGTAGGGGGACAGGTTGTAGGAGGACAGGTTGTAGGAGGACAGGTTGTAGGAGGACAGGTTGTAGGAGGACAGGTTGTAGGAGGACAGGTTGTAGGAGGACAGGTTGTAGGAGGACAGGTTGTAGGAGGACAGGTTGTAGGAGGACAGGTTGTAGGAGGACAGGTTGTAGGAGGACAGGTTGTAGGAGGACAGGTTGTAGGGGGACAGGTTGTAGGAGGACAGGCTGTAGGAGGACAGGCTGTAGGAGGACAGGTTATAGGAGGACAGGTTGTAGGAGGACAGGTTATAGGAGGACAGGTTGTAGGAGGACAGGTTGTAGGAGGACAGGTTATAGGGGGACAGGTTGTAGGAGGACAGGTTGTAGGAGGACAGGCTGTAGGAGGAAAGGCTGTAGGAGGACAGGGTTGTAGGAGGACAGGTTGTAGGAGGACAGGTTGTAGGAGGACAGGTTGTAGGAGGACAGGTTGTAGGAGGACAGGCTGTAGGAGGACAGGTTATAGGAGGACAGGTTATAGGAGGACAGGTTGTAGGAGGACAGGTTGTAGGAGGACAGGTTGTAGGAGGACAGGCTGTAGGAGGACAGGTTGTAGGACAGGTTGTAGGAGGACAGGTTGTAGGAGGACAGGTTGTAGGAGGACAGGTTGTAGGAGGACAGGTTGTAGGAGGACAGGTTATATATATATATATATATATATATATATATATATATATATATATATATATATATATATATATAATTGAAAACTCACACCCCAGAAGTGACTCGAACCCATACTGCCAGGAGCACTATACAACTGGTGTATAGGACACCTTAACCACTCGACCATCACGACCGGACAAAAGATTTGCCTTTTGTTCGCATTTGTGTTCTTCACGTGTGAGGAACACAAGAATGCAGGAATATGACAAATTGTAAAACAAATGAAACGCTATGCGTGCTTGTGGCTTTGCAAAAATGTAAAAACAGCAATGCTATGTACTCTCATAAACCCAATGTACCTTCATTGGGTTTATATATATAAATATATATAAATTTGTGGTGTCCGTGGCGTAGTGGTTAAACACTCGCCTGGCGTTTCTGGATCGCTTTGTCCTGGGTTCGTATCCTGGCCGGGGAGGATTTACTAGGCGCCAATCCTGAACTATAGCCTCTGTTTACCCAACAATAAAATGAGTACCTTGTTCTTAAACGATTTGGCGGGTCGTATTCCGGGGGGAAATTAGGATTAAGGAACTAATCGCGATGCGTGCCAGTGGCTTTACAACAATGTAAAAACTCAAATGTATATAAATACAAAAATATATAAATAAATAAAGATATAAATAAAATATATAAATGAGTTACCCATCAATCAGGAGATTATAAAGCACGGGTGTTTGGGAGAACGGTATAAAGGGTTAACACAACAGTTTTGAATTTACCTGAGAGTTAGTCGCTACCACACTAAATTACTCACTACCACACTATAGTGCTTTCGAAGAGGACAGGAAGCCGGCGGCCTGTTTATGAACCAAGCACTGTCGGCTCAAAGACGTTCACGGGCCCGACCCCACGAATGGGTTATGTTCATTCATCAATTTTAACATGCCGTTCATAAATAGGAATTTCTTAAATGTAAATTAATATTATATATATTAGCCAAATGTGCATTTGTAAGCTTAGGTACTAGTCTCTCTCTCTCTGTATTTAATAATTTGAGGAGTCAGTTACTCAAGGTTTCGGTAAAAAAATTGCACGGGGCCATAGCTGGGCAATGACTCTTTATAATTATTGTTTGTTCATACTATGTTGCTTCAAGGTAAACACTGTGTTGACGAAGTCTGTTGCTGTGTTTGTCTTGGAATGATATGATGTGAAGCGTGCAAGGTGCAGGTGGTGTTTTTTAGTGGTGATCCTGTGTGTGTGTGTGTGTGTGTGTGTGTGTGTGTGTGTGTTTATATGTGTGTGTGTGTGTGTGTGTGTGTGTGTGTGTGTGTGTTTATATGTGTGTGTGTGTGTGTGTGTGTGTGTGTGTTTATATGTGTGTGTGTGTGTGTGTGTGTGTGTGTGTGTGTGTGTGTGTGTGTGTGTGTGTGTGTGTGTGTGTGTGTGTGTGTGTGTGTGTTTATGTGTGTGTGTATTCACCTAGTTGTGCTTGCGGGGGTTGAGCTCTGCTCTTTCGACTCGCCTCTCAACTGTCAATCAACAACTACTAACTACTATTTTTGTGTGTGTGTGTGTGTGTGTGTGTGTGTGTGTCCACAGTTATGTATCGAGTGCTTGCGGCTTTGCAAGAATATATAAAAATGTATCCTGTATGTAAACTGTATCACATGTATATATAGTCTTGCATAAATACATTCACTATTTTCATTAATATTATAATATTGTATCTTGACATTAAGTTTCGTTTTGGTCGTGAGGCCTGTCGATCTCTGGAGACCAATTAAGACCACAACAATAGCTTACTGACCAACCAGCTAGTACATCTTAAGTCCTGAACTTATCAATAAACTCAGTGTGTGTGTGTGTGTGTTTCTGTTTCTCCCTGAAACGCTGCGCGTACTAGTGGTTTTACAAGAATGTAATTACTATGCTATGTATCCTCACAATCCCAATGTACCTTGTTGTATATATATAAATATATAAATAAATAAGTGTATATACCCACAGAAGCGGGTTAATTATACCTCTCGGCGCATATATCCCAATATTCAGACTTAATTATTTATATTTATTAGTTTCATGCTATGGGGAAAATGTTGACATTTAAGTCATATATGTGAAATAATATTATACACCATATCAGACTTATTACAGTGAAAGTGCTGGAAATTGTTGGCATAATGATATTAAAAACAGCACGAGATATTAAATTAAATTGTTCATATATGTTTATGTAATTTGCAGACCCTAAAACATTGTGTATAGCAGGAGTTTTATGAACTGTATTTAACGTATATTATTATTATTATTATTATTATTATTATTATTATTATATAGATATTAAACAGTTTTTCGTCTTTTCTTTCAGTTGGAGGTAAGCAATCAGGATCTTCAACAGAAAACGATGATGATGTGGGATTCTTCGCTAAGTTCAAGTAACGCTATTTTAGCAGAATTTAATTTTTTACTTTATATATTAAGGCATTCATATTAGAGTTGGGTCAGTACGGTATCTGTTACATTTTGATGTCAAAATCTCCAACGGACAGAATACGGCGTATTATGATTCATGAATCAGTAGTGGTCGTGGCGCAGTGGTAAAGCTACAGCCTGTAGCCTCTGATCACCCAACAGTAAAATGGGTACCTGGGGCCAGATTCACGAAAGCACTTACGAACGTGTTCATCTTTTCTCAATATTTGGCGGCTTTGTTTTCAATTATTAAACAGTTAATGAGCTCCGAAGCACCAGGAGGTTTGTCGAAAGGCGAGTTTACTCGCCTTTAAACTCGCCTTTCGACAAACTAACACACTTCGTAGCAATCTAGTTCACACTGCTCCTCCTGCTTCTAATGCTGCTGGTGTCTACTCTATTTCCTGTTCATTTTGTCCTCTCCAATACTTTGGCGAAACTGGCCGTACACTGAATGACAGACTTAAAGAACACAAGAGAAGTGTTATGTCTGCAGACACTAACAATGCTCTCTTCTGCCATGTGAGGGATTCTAATCATCCCATTGATTGGTCTTCCTCCAAAATAATCTTTCCTGCCTCTACTCTACACAGACGCCGTCTTGTAGAATCGGCTCTTATTAACAATGTACCCAACATGAACTTGAGTCCTGGCTTTGTTGCTGTGGACTCTTCCCTTTCACAGTATATACTCAAATGCTCTAATCTTTCTAACAAACGTGACTTAACATAAGCTTTCCCCCTTCCATTTCTTTCTTTCTCTTTCCCTTTCTTTCTCTCTTCTCCCCTTTTTCTGTTCATTGTCTTCTACGCTCACTTGCTATCCTCTTCTTATTCCTATTACTATCTCCTTCGGTGGTTATAATAGGAGCTGCCTCGTATGGGCCAATAGGCCTGCTGCAGTTCTCATTACTACTATCCCCTACACCTGACTTTCCTCCTCAGCTCTCTCTTGCCTATTTAATGCCTGTCCCTACCTGTCCTCATCTTTTGGGTGGCTTAATCTTCATCAATCAATCAATCTGTCCTCATCACAATCGACTTGAGAATGGTCCAGGACGGACCGAAACGTCGTCGTCCCTTCAATTTCTAGTGTGTGGTCTGGTCAATCAGATATGTGATTCAGTAGAAGCCTACTTATAGGCCTACTTGAGTATGGGTGACGTGTAGGACTAAAGTACAACATATTCTGATAGGCCTATTTAGGTCAACGGGCTGTTAACGGTCTCAGTATTACCCGAGTGTCACTATATCACAAGAGGCCTCGACCAGGACAGGAAGCCGGCGGCTTGTCTTGTCTTCTCATTTGTCCTGACGATTTTATCGATTTTGAAATTCAACGGTGTTTTAGCATTTATTTGGCAAGATAGCCTCAACTGGTGTTAGAGATGATGGCTTCACCTGGCTCCTAACAGCCCCAGGATGGCGCTACACTGTGCATCTCTTCGCAGCCATATTACTGTTGTCTATTGCTAATCGTAGCATAAAGTGCTACATTCTGTGGCATTCCAGTGGACAAAGTCCCGCCCCTATATCTTCCCACGACATATTTAGTCCTGGACGGGAGACCCGTCACGCAGGGTGCAGTCGCACCTCCACAGATCTCCAGTATCAGCTCTTGATACTGGTAATGGCTCAAAAGGGCCACCACTTACGGGCTATTCATGCCCGTGCCACCTCTTGGATGGCTTAATCTTCATCAACCAATCTTAGTCCTGGAGTAGTTACAGCCCCGCTCCTGTGCCAGGTAAGGCCACTACGGGCTCACCATAGCCCGTGCTACTTACCCCGCTCCTGTATCAGGTAAGGCCACAACGGGCTCACCATAGCCCGTGCTACTTACCCCGCTCCTGTGCCAGGTAAGTCCACTACGGGCTCACCATAGCCCGTGCTACTTGCCCCGCTCCTGTGCCAGGTATGTCCACTACGGGCTCACCATAGCCCGTGCTACTTACCCCGCTCCTGTGCCAGGTAAGTCCACTACGGGCTCACCATAGCCCGTGCTACTTGCCCCGCTCCTGTGCCAGGTAAGTCCACTACGGGCTCACCATAGCCCGTGCTACTTACCCCGCTCCTGTGCCAGGTAAGTCCACTACGGGCTCACCATAGCCCGTGCTACTTGCCCCGCTCCTGTGCCAGGTATGTCCACTACGGGCTCACCATAGCCCGTGCTACTTACCCCGCTCCTGTGCCAGGTAAGTCCACTACGGGCTCACCATAGCCCGTGCTACTTTGGAACTTTTGTTCCCAGTAGCTGAATCTAAAACAATAACAATTTAGTCCTGCAAGATGCTTCGATGGAAGTATGTTTTAAGCCTACCTTGAGGTGCTTCCGGGGCTTAGCGTCCCCGCGGCCCGGTCGTCGACCAGGCCTCCTGGTTGCTGGACTGATCAACCAGGCTGTTGGACGCGGCTGCTCGCAGCCTGACGTATGAGTCACAGCCTGGTTGATCAGGTATCCTTTGGAGGTGCTTATCCAGTTCTCTCTTGAACACTGTGAGGGGTCGGCCAGTTATGTCCCTTATGTGTAGTGGGTTGATGTTGTTTTTCTGCTGTCTATGTATTTTGAATGGGCAGTTTTGCATTTCCTTAACCTATTCTAGAAATCAAATGGCATAGTTCCTCCTAGTTTGCATGATTGTCTGCTAGTTATATGCTAGTTTGGTATGTCTTCTAGGTAAGGTAAGGTAATTATTACTAGGAAAAACTGTATGCTATAACAATTATATAGCACTTGGAAGGGCTGAGGATAAGGATTTGGGATAGGACGGGAGAAAGGAATGGTGCCCAACCCCCTTAGACGGTCGGGGATTGAACGCCGACCTGCATGAAGCGAGACCGTCGCTCTTCCGTCCAGGCCAAGTGGTTGGGCATAATGTCTTCTAGATAAGCACAGTCTTGTCTTATTCGGTACAAATGTCACTATATACACACAACGGAAACCATGACGAGGCAAAACACCTATTGATAAGACAAGTACTTGACGTTGTAACTTAAGTGAGAAACCGATAAGCACAGCCCAGGAGAATATAGTATCAGTGTTATCTTTCTCCCCCCCCCCCCTCCATCCGCCCCCCCCCTGTAGCAAGCAAGAATTAAATATTGTCCCTTAGCGGAAATGTTGGGCACTATAATTTGGGACTTTATCCGGTGTCATCAACACTGAAAAGAATTACTGAACAAAAAAAAATGTACCACTCACGGGCTATTCATGCCCGTGCCACCTCTTGGGTGGCTTAATCTTCATCAATCAATCAATCCAGAAGGCAGACGGGAGACATCTCCCATCACGCAGGGTGCAGTCGCGCCTCCACAGATCTCCAGTATCAGCTCTTGATACTGGTAATGGCTCAAAAGGGCCACCACTTACGGGCTATTCATGCCCGTGCCACCTTTTGGCTGGCTTTATCTTCATCAATCAATCCAGAAGGCAGGAATCCCTGAATGAATCCCAAGGTTCAATCAGGGAGCCGGTCGGCCGAGTGGACAGCACGCTGGACCTGTGATCCTGTGGTCCCGGGTTCGATCCCGGGCGCCGGCGAGAAACAATGGGCAGAGTTTCTTTCACCCTATGCCCCTGTTACCTAGCAGTAAAATAGGTACAGAGTGTTAGTCAGCTGTCACGGGCTGCTTCCTAGGGGTGGAGGCCTGGTCGAGGACCGGGCCGCGGGGACACTAAAGCCCCGAAATCATGTCAAGAAGAAGAAGATGAAAGGATTGGTCAACCTTAGAACTTCAAGGCTCTAACTACTGTGCCATGGGAGCTGTTTACATTTGTTATGGCGGTAGACATTATAACTATTGACGGCATTAGCCTATTGTGAGTGTAAACAGGTCCTCCAGCAGGATACTAGGCGGGTGCTTGGCGGCTCCTGCTTTCCTAACTTCAAAGGGCAGTCTTGGCTCAGTGGTTAAAGCCTCTGAATGCTGTCAACATAGTCAAGGGTTCGATGCACCTGCAACCCAAGGGTGAAGTGTGAATCCCCCACACACGCCGATAAGCGCCGGTGGCATCTGAGACAGCGGGAATATCACTGAACGCACAGCGCCTTCCCGAAGAACAGCTGAAGTCGACCCTTGAGGGTATTGAACTCTCCTCCTGATGAGGCCAGGAGGCTGCCACCTGAACAAATCCACAAGGGCCGTGACGAGGATTCGAACCTGCGTCCGGGAGCTTGCCACCTGGCTTGACTCCTTACGACGACTACTCCGCCACGGAATTTGTATTCTGTGGAGGGCGCGATCAGCCCTGTAGCCTGTCATATCTGACCAGATATGACAGGCTACAGGGCTGATCAGCCGTGTCATATCTGACCAGATATGACACGGCTGATCTTAATGAGGCTTACGGGCTATTCTTGCCCGTGCCAATTCTTGGGTGGCTTAATCTTTATCAATCAGTCATCATCGAGACCTTGAAAATGCTGAACAAAATTTGAGGCAGTTACATTTGACATTTTAAAGAAGTGGTCTGGATTACTATTAATCCAGACCACTTCTTTAAAATGTCAAATGTAACGCATAAAAGGAGGGCAACAGCTTCAAGCTCAACAAGCCACAATGTAGGGCTGAAAACAGGAAATGCTTTTTAACTCATAGATAGATTAAATAGATTTAATAGATAACATATAAATAGATTCCCGAGAGTTAGCTAACTGTTGAGGGTTGCATCTGAGAGTAATGGTAAGTGGTTAGATAGAGGAACCTCGATAGTATTTACTGGATTCCTTCCTCGGCAATAGAAAACTAAGTTAAATATTAACGAATACACCAAATATGATAGGCGTTAACACGGAATATGATAGTATGCCCTTAATCGGCATGCGTTTTCTCTTATTAAGATATTCGTTTTCTGTTAGTCATTTATTCTATGGTTTCTCTAGAGGACAAACTCAAGAAAAAT